GGAGAGCTTCCCGAAATTTCCCGAAGCATCTTCCGTTCAACTCTTCTCTCTGTCCCTCTCTCCGCTCCCCCGGCAGGGAAGAAAAGGCCACGAGAAGGCAAGCAACAACTTATTCTACTTTTCTACCACTCTGCCTTTCTACGTTCAAAAAATGTTCAAAACTGCACTCTTAGGTATGCGCAGCACGGCCAATCTCATGGGGGGTTGGAGCTGATGCCAAAGCTTCCTGCTCGATGGAGAGGTCAAAGGGAGTTGACAAGCGTTTGCGTGAATGACATTCTTCAACACATGCTCAAAGCAAGTCTAGCATGTGTGTAGCTTGTGGTTCAGAAATGATCTTCTCAGGGAGACATGCTATAAAATTGGAAATCATCTCGAACAAGCAAGATGTACCTTGCATCAGTTGCATGAGGGCCATTCTAGAACGGCTTTTGCTGCGACGATTTGTTGGTCTTTCGTTTCTGGCCAGGCTTGTGGCCTCATCGTGGCCGCGCCCTCCGGCAGTGCCTACACTCTTTTTGTGTGGAGAACACAAGGAAGCTGTGCAGCACTACGCCGTCTGATGGCTGTACAACTGCGTGCAAAACAAGCCCAACTAGCTTCCCTCGCGTAAAAAAATCTAACTCATGCCATGAGGCTTGGCTAGGGCAAGCGTTTGTGCTCAAGTTCAGTGGTGCTCGCCGTGTTATGGAATTCGTTTTTGTCATAATAGTGCTACAGTTCGAGGCAGAATCAGAAGCAGTGTATGCAGCTCCATCTCCAAACGATGGTGAAGTTAGAAGGAGCAGTTCATGAGGATTGCTGGCTTCTACAATCCGAAGCGGATCCTTGGACTAAGTGTATCCGCACGCGTGATTCTACATGAGCATGGAAATGGACAGTTTGAAGTGCTCGAACCTGTCTACGCTAGCTCACCTTAATCAGCTGACATACGAGCTCACGAGCTCGGCAAAAGTCTGGCATCTATGAGAACATTACTGATCCTGCCTGGAACTCCGGAGGCGGCTGCCGCCGATGCACAGCTTTGAGCTGCGTGAGAACAGGAGTTCTGCACGGTCGGGTCGCGCGTGGCCAATAGAGTTCATGAACACAAGCCTGAGTTGACTCTCCTTTCAGGATTTTTGCAGTTTTTGAATTCTTTCAGCCGTGGAGCACTTCATCCAACCACTGTGGCCCCACTCGCTCCAGAAAGGCCAAGTGCGTTGGCACATCAAAGGTTTGCTCCAGGCGCATCATTTTCCGATAACGGACGAACCTCCCAGCAATGATGCGACAAGCAGCGATACAGAATCCTTGTTGAAGACTCGGATCAAATATGATCATATTGCGTCTCCGAGCTTCGCGAGAATGGAGTAATGGGCAAGCACATTGCCGAAACCATGATACTGGGCACCGCCTTCTGACTTTTTACTTTGCATGTAGGTTGCGAGTGATGACTTGTACATACTTTCTCCACGCTTCATGAAAACACACCCCTCCAGGTGCTAGCCCAAATCCGTGTGTAATCTTCCTTTCCATCCCCCCGATTGAATAACCTTGCCAGACCATTCCAAGAGTCTTCAGGGAAACTCTAATGCACACTGACTGAAGCCAGGAGCATGCTGGAGGAAAGCTCCAGGGCAGAGGATACGTTTTGCTGCACAAAGTTCCTGAGCTTCTCGACACTTGCAGCAGCTTGGAAACTACCGACAACATCCAACAACCAAGATCGATCTGCAGCAGCTTGCAGCATGCTTGCAAGTCAGTTGCCATTAACGCGCTGCATGGAAGCGCGTCAGGTGTCCGCTTGCAACTGAGGTTCAGAGATGCCAGCAGTGCCGTGCACCAAGTCACCTCGACAAGTAACATGTACTTGCAGTATCGGCTTCATCGATCAAACGAGGCTTTGCGTAGCGTCTCGGTTCACCTGTTTCGAAGCACATGCAACTGTCACTTTCTAGCAGGCAAATAGACCTCCAGTGGCAAAAAGTCTTGGGTTTCCAAGCCGCAAGTGCTGAGTACCTGATGGTATCTGCCACTTGCTTGCACGTCCTTTTCTGTATTTCGACCTGGCAAATCGGAATCCCTGACTAGCGACCTTTGTGTCAAGCGTGAGCTCATTTGCCCTTGCCAGGGCAAACGTGTCCTGGACAGAACATCATGAGCTTCTGCAGGAAATCTCTCAGCACTGCTGCATGAGAAAGTGCATGCCAAGATCAAGTAATGCTTGTTGCATGCCTGGCCATGTTCATTCTATCTGTCACTCAAGCTCAAGAAGCCCCTGGCCTATGACAACCAAAGCCTCTTCTGAAAAATTAAGGACACGTCCAACACCTGGGTCACAAACAAAGCCACTGCGTGAGCTGCAGTGAACCCCTGATTCTCTTAAACCTTGACTGCGCAGCTTCGAAAGGTCCAACAACGCAGCAGAGCCAAAGGCCTCAAAGGCATCCGCCAGCTTTGCTCATTGTTTTCTGGCAGACTCTCTTCCCCCGCTCCCCCTCACAAATGTGCTGCCCGATAGGTCCATTAGTAAAACGGCATGCTCTAAAGTCACGGAGACCGTCACTGAGTGCAACAAGAAAGGTGAGCCAGCAGGAACTGCAACAATGATTTATGCTGCAATTTCCGTTCTTGGTACATCATGCAAGGCAGGCAGGCAAGGAGAATTGTGGTTACAAAACCAGCAACGAACGTCTCAAGGAGGAAATCCTGGTACCCCAAACCTACACTTGGTCCTCCAACAGCGCCAAACGACGGCCCTCTGGAACCTGCAAGGCCCTAAACGACTACCCACGTGCTGTGCAACGGCCCGGGCTTGACAGTCCTGCGAAAAGCCTCCCCACGGTCCCCGCCTGCTTCAGGAAATCCCGAAGACCTCGGGCACGACCATCATCTGGCTCCTGAGTCGATCTATTGTATGATTTTTTTCCAAACCGTCTGTTTCGGGCCATGGCTTGCTCCTCGTCCCCGAGGCGCCGGACACGGTCGTGTATATCAAGAAAAAGCCACAGCCCGTCCGCCAGCCGGTCGAAGTGCCGCGTTAGTGGGTTCTCAGACTCCAGGGAAATTTCCTGCACCCCACAAGCACATGGCATTCAAAGCCCTGCGACCAAGACCTGCATTGACAAGCTATGCTCAAATATGTTCAACAGCCAATCCATTTTGGATAGAGCTATCTTCGCTGTCCTCCAGATCTTCAGAGACAGAATCTGACATCGGGCTAGGCGACTTCTGCACAAGAAGCAACTTTGTGACTAAAGACGGGGTCGAGGACTGAGTTGTTGAACCCTTAACTGACAAAAATAAAGAATCTGGCTGTGCGGAACAAGTAAATCTCTGGAAGCAATCAGCAGCCGACTTGCAGCGCTGTTTGAAGGAACACCTGCCTGCAAGCTTCCCTGCATGCAGCGAGGCGGCTGAAGGAGCACTGAGGCTACCTGACGCTCATCAAGACTTTGGCTCCCAGCCAAATCGCATCATAGGCAAGGATCTTCTGCGGGAGTCCAAGTCTGGTAGTAGGTACAAGGCCAGCCCATCTCACGTTCCAGTAAGCCTCACATACCCTGCGGAAAAGTACGGGTCACTTGAGCCGGCCCGCATCCTGATTTGTGACATTCGCTTAGTGGAAGCAACGCTGTTTGAAATGCTGCCCGGAAGCCCAATGGGGTTTAGTCTGGCCCACTCAGTAAGTTCGCTGCTGGACTCAACAAGCTTGGACAACGTCACTGCTCTGCTTGGAACCTCTCATCTCCTTGCATGAATTAATTAGTGCGCCGGGTGGCCAAACAACGATTTTTGAGTTTGAATGGGCTGGAGTTGTGGCATTTCTGGCATCTGTAACTCAGTTTTAAATGTCATAATGTTGCTGTCGCAAACTGCACCAACAAAATCATAGGAAAGGAGCACCTTGTAGCTGATCTCCACCAGGCGGACTGCTGAGTCCACGATATCCCAAATGCAGAAAAGTAGGACCTGTCAACGCATGATTCGAATGATGCTTCTTGACTTTGTCGGCAGCGCGTCTGCTTTGCTGCCTTCTCCGTAATGGCCGTGACCAGGGACGAGTCCAGAAGCTCGAGGAAACCTCAATATGTGAGCAACACATTTGCAAGATGGACTGGCATTGGACAACTCTGTGCTAGCTCATGCTGCACCACTTCAGGATATCTGCCTCCTCGTTTGAAAGACATGCGGCGTGCTCACAAGCTCGCTGCAGCCAGAGCACTTTGGATGAGTGTCCCGCTCAGCTCACCCAGCAGCACTGCCATTGTCGTCATGGATGCCATGTCACTCATGGCTTTGGTCTCTCGTAATTAGAGTGCAAACCCCTCATAGTTTTGGGCACATGCCCCAAAGCACGCTGCAATCCTCTCACTTCGGATTGTTTGGAGCGTGCGTTTCCAATGCCAAGGAAAGTTCTGGGTCTGAAGCTTGCAGGGTGGTCTTTGCCTCTTTGGCGTGGTGACTATGCCGGTGTATATAGCGGATAGGCACGGATAGGCTACGGCAAGCTATGTGACTGCACATTTGCATCCGACGAACCGTGACTGACTGACTGACCCGCAAGGCATGACCCAAGCGCCGCAATGACCACGATGAAAACCATGTTACTCTCTTACTGTGTTGCATGTGAAAGAGGTTTCAGATCCAAAGGTAGAGCGATCCAAGAGCGGGTGCCGACATACCATGCAGAATCAGCAGATCCACCCTCCCGTCATAAGGCACCAAGGGCCTGAGCTCAGCCAAGACCTACATCTCACCAGGTCTGCTATGCAGGAATTGGTAGCTATACAAAGATCACCTGTGCGAAGACAATCCCCTAAAAGCAAAGACATGCGCGCTGCTTCCTTCTTGTCAGACAGCCACCCGACCGGGATCCGTTGCTGAAAGCTATCTATGCCTCTCAAGTCTTCTACGATTGCAAACAGCTTGTAATCAAAACATTGGGATGTGCAATGGTGGGGCGCAAGAGGGGGTCTATAAATGTGCAAACTGAAGGGTGCGGACCAAGGTCTTCCTTAAGACCAGTGCCACTCTTGGCTCTTGTCATCTTGACAAGTGCCGACCTGCACGCGTCTTTGGCTGCGCTATGCTGCGCTGAAAGACATCTGCCATCGAGCAAAGATGTGATCTCTTGAAAGGTGCACGTTCGCAATCTTATGCAGCGGGCTGATAGTGTTGAGCTAAGTGAAAGCAGAACATATAGCCGAGGTTCCTTCTGCAAGCTTCAGAAGAAACATGCGCTGCTGACGAAGCCGTAGACTCAATCAAAACCAAGTATTTTGCCAAGCAAGGCATCGTAAAGCCTAAGAACCATTGGGATTTGACAGCTACCTAAGCATGCATTTCATACTTGATGACGTCATGTGCAGTTGCTCCTTGCAGACACATAGCTGCCCTGAGGCATGCACGTTGAGTGTGAATGGACCTTGAACAGGCTTTGTCAGTCTAAAGCATTTATAACCCCTCTGCTGAAGGGAGAGGAACGCAGCCTGAACTGCAAGGCAACCCATCTGTACGATCGGCATCACCTGCGCCTCAACTCTGGCCCTCCACTCCACGTCCACACTTTAGTGAACAACAATGATTGCGGCAGCAAATTTGCCCCCAGAACCAAACAAATGTCAACTGCTCTCATTACTGCAACTGGCGGCTGTCGTCTGGATGCTGAACTCCTTAACTAAGCTGGAGCTGGAGTCTTACCCGTCGTACGAGGACCAGGCTGCGGGTAGAAGCTTGATCTGAAGCTTGAAGGCACGTTCCCTGCGAGCTCCTAGCAGGTGGGTTGCAGCCTTGCAAGGCTCCGATCACTGAGTAACCCCCCTGTATAAGCCTGCCTTGAATGTATGACAATACTTAGCGCGCATACATTCAAAGGCTGCTTTTTGAAGATTCCTTCAACTTAGACGAAAATGGGTCCCTGATGGTCTCTGCTTAGGACGGAGTGGGGCCATCCCCAAAACAAAATCCGGACCGTGGTCTCATAACATTCATACGACGGGGGTTGAGGAGTTCAGCAGCTGTTCTAAATCAAACTCAATGGCAGGGGGTTAGCGAGCCTTAAACAGTAAAAGCTTTTGCTTATGAAATCTCTGGGGGGCTGGAAATATGGATAAACCAGCACGTTCAAAACTGTGTTGTTATTGAGGACCTCCTGCTGGACTACCCCATTGCAAGAAATAATTGCCTGGCCTCCTCGAATAAGTGGTCTAATAAGCAATCGACAGACTTGGATCTAGTGAGAGCTTGGCTTAACTGAACAATTATCAAGCAGCTTTCTCCTTCCGTGCAAATTCGAAGAAATAAGCTCCGCAAACGACTCGCGGGGCTAATTAATTCCAAACTTCGCGCAAGGCTCCCCACACTAATCACCAATCGCGATTCGACATCACTATACATAATTTCTTCTTGCAAGAAGGATCCGCCTTTGGAGGCACGTGTGGCGCGTCACAGCACTCAAAACTGAAATGCTCTAAGAGCCCCAAGGAACATGCAACTTCTGCAAGAGGCAGTCACCAACCAACCTCCGACTGCAAAGCGAAAACTCGTATGTATCTACGAAAGTGGCTGGATGTGAAGAAGACAGCAGGCCTTACAATTCAACGATGATGTGATGCACCAACAACTACTGACGCGCTGGAGGTTTGTGATTGTCGAGCAGCACTGTCCCTGCGCCTTATATGCAGGTTTGAGTCCAGGGACCTCAGGCGTGGCTTGATTTAGTCATACTTTCTGCCAATGCAACAACCACGTCTTCCATGCATTTCAGAACGTTTTGGCCCAGCTGATCGGAAATGAGCGCGGCGCCACTTAAGCCGCTCATCTTTTTCCTGGCCAGGTCTAGTGTTAGGGCTGGTTGGTAATACTACCTACCAGTTCGGGGCTCTGGCCTGGAAACCTTACAAGACCTCCAGAAACGATGCGCCTGACATGGCCTCACGCTCACAAAGCTATTCTCCATGGAGAGGCACCTCAGCGCCCACGCACGATAGAAATAGAAGCTGCATCAAGCACGTGAGAGCTTGTCGATACACTCCCCCTGGAGAAGCGGCTCGCAAAGGAAACAAGAACGAGCAGCCCTCTTGGAGCCGGACATCTTGTAGCCTAATTGCGGCCTTGCAAGACTTCACGCTCGTCCAGTATACTCAGGATGGTCCAAACGCATGACGCGGCCCAGGCTTCAAATATCTGACTGGTCTCCAGGATTCCATTCGATGGCTAAAGCTTCCCCATTCCTGCTTTCCCTGAATCTTACTCGTGCTCTCCTACAGATTTGTCACGCATGGCATGTCTTGCTTTTTGCGGTGCCAAGCCTACTTGCACGCAAAAAGAAACTCATCTGGTTTCTAATCATTGTCATTGTTGTTTCTGAGGTTATGTAAGGCAAGGGCATGCGCAGTGGATCTACACAAGCGTAATTTGAGCAGCCAACACTCTGAGCAAGCCCGACTCGTCTTCCACGAAGGCCTGCTGCACTGCACACCGGAGGCTTGTCTGAGAGAGGTCTTACTTCCATGTTCTTGCTGGGCAACAAAGACTGAGACTAAGTGAGAGGCAGCAACCAATCATAGCGTGTGTTTCACGCAGTTAGCCTTATAATGTTAACATCGGATTAGGAAAAAGGTTCGTATTAGAGCTAAATCAGGCCCGAACGGATTAATATAAATGGGTACGTATAAGAGCTAAATCCGACCTGAGTAGTGACGTGCTCGGTTCTGGAAATGCGCGACCAGATAAAAATATTTACTTCGAGCATCC